TGTCACACACACACACACACACACACACACACACACACACAAATGACAAAGGGCCTCGCCACACCACTCTCGAAATGTGGAAAAGACAAAAATTTGGCGGGCGCATCTGGCCATGTTCTAGCGGGAAGTTCGTTCTCATTTTGCACATTTGGCGAGTAGTGTGGCGACGCCCAAACACACACACACACAGTGTGGCGACGCCCAAACACACACACACACACACACACACACACACACACACCGATCTGAGATTTCCAGCAGCAATTCAAAGTCAACGTTAACGTTCACTTGCATGCCTATCATAATGCCCATGTATGGTCCTGTCCACACTTCCCTGCCCCGCTCCTCCTTGCTGCCTCACTTATCCCACCTCCCTCCTCGCCCCCTCACTTTTCCCAACTTTTCATCAGACTTGCAGTTGCAATTCCACAGCCCCACTTAACCGCTCGAACTCCAAGGACGGCACTTTTAAAATAAATCAATGCACATTGCACACAGAGTTTGACCGCTCGACCTCCCAAAAACACTGAATCCCAAAAAACACTCGTTGATGGGCAGAGCCAGATAACAACAAAAATAAATTAAACGTATTGGCTTCGAAAATTTCCGTCGAGTCGAAGAAACACTCAATCGGCAGATTCAGCTCAGCACCAGACCGAAATTCAACTGCTGTAAACAAAAAGTTACAAAACATAAATCGGTTGAATTCCCCAAAGCACCGTTGGACGTGACGTTGTCTTTAACGTCGTCGTCGACGACGACGTAAAAAAAAATATATATATTCTCTGACTAGCTCTGTTTCTGAAACGTCTGAGAAAGATTAAACCCTTGTCGCTTCTCGAGGAACAACCGATGGCATCTCGTCGCATCATCATCTAGTATACCTATTTCACAAGAACGTGTACACAGCACGCTGTCCTGTCGGACTAAGACCCAGAACACTTAAAGGGATGATGATGACTACCAGTAACAACGTGCACCCGCGAGAACACCATGATCCCTTTAGGTTCCTGAACAACCCCAAACACACAAACTCTCTGTGCAGTGTGCAGAGATCAAACGGTGCTTGATGCAAATGCTGTAGCAGAGCTAAACCCAGTTCCATCACACAACAATAGGCACCTTCCCTCTCTCCCTTCCATCCTCTCTCTCTCTCTCTCTCTCTCTCTCTCTCTCTCTCTCTCTCTCTCTCTCTCTCTCTCTCTCTCTCTCTCTCTC